ACCTTGATCAAATAAACCAACTTTATATTCCTTCCTTTTACTTCTAACAATCTTAATCTTTTGTCCATTCAAATCATGTAGAACTTGATTTCTTTTCATTTTTTATTTGTCCCTTATAAGATTCCTCAAAACTTTAACAAGCCTCTTTTGTTAATCCAATATAGGAAAATTATCCAGGTTGGTCTCTTGGTTTATTGTTTGTATATCCCTTTTAATTATTAAAACATCAGCCGGTTTCTTTTTTATGTCCAGTGTAACATCTTTTTCCATGTTATTCTTGTGGCCTGTCATTTGTAAATCTACTTTCAACTCTTGAACTTGTCAGGTAAAACTTGTTCCTCTTCCATAACATCTTTTAGACACAATCTCTCCATAGAGGCAGATGTCTCTGTTGACACTATTAATATTAACTTCTAAGTCCATTTTTCAAAAATATCCCTCAATATGTCCAGTGTTAGAATACTTTGCTCCATTCTGTATTAGTAAGTCAAATTTTAATTTAATTTTTTTCTCTTCTTTAATTATAATCTTTAGTTCCCTCTGGTTCCTTCTAGTGTCCAACCTTCGAAGTCTCATCTACCTTTTTTTTTTTAAGAGAATTCAAAACAAAAAACATTTTCCCACGAGAAGGATTCTTATAATTAATTCCAAAATCTTTGCTTTTTATCCCCCCTGCCAAAAATAAAAATTAAGTCCTTAAACTTGTATTTAAAACTTTTTTTGCTAAGGATTGAAGGAAATCACCCAGTGCTGTAAAATTTGTCAATCCAAAGGTTCCTAAGAGCTGAAAAGCAGTTAACAAGCAATTTCCAAAAGTGATTAGGAAAGAAAGTATGTGAACCCAGTGTCCTTTCAAAGGTGCAGACTGTGGTTTGAACAACATGGCTATTATCTCATCTCCCACAGCTCTAATCCCACTGGAGACCACTGTCTTGTGGTCTCCTGGTGAGGAACAACTGTCTGGAGCACTTATGAACAATCTCAAATTCTGTCCTTGTCCAGAGAGGAGTTATGAAGAGCTGGTCTACTTGCTGGCTCTTCATTTTGCTGTGGTCATTGGCTCCATTTTTCGTGGAGCGGTCTTTAGTCCGCCATTTCTTCCCCCAGAAGAATATTTGGATTGTTGACATGTATTGTGATATAATATGGTGTTCTGAGTTTCTGCATATGAGATTTTTATTGTGCAGCCACTATGCGTCATTCATGGAATTCTTTAAACTTCTCATGTTTTTCCATGTTTCTTCCACCTTTCTTCTTATTGTAGAAAATCTATTAAGGTGGGAAAGACTGTATTAGATTATTTGATTTAGTAATGCTAGAAGCACCCTCTAATTCTGTGCTCCTGGGCATTCTTTTTTCCATCTGCAAGAGAATTGAGAGACTTTATCTAAATCTTCACAATCCTATTCATACTTTCACCTGGAAGGTTCAGCAGTATTTGAAGTGTTCTATGTTTTTGCAGTTTCTGTTGGTATGGCTGCTAATTTCTTTTTCCTTTCTAGGACACAGCTGAGGATATCCATGCAATTGATAGTTGTGAATACATCTGGGAGGCTGGTGTTGGATTTGCTCATTCACCACCACCTAGCTACAGCCATGATTTAAATAGGTGAGGATATCAGAAAATGACAGATCAGATTATGTATGTAATAAAGACAAGATCATGAGAATTATGTACAAAGTGAAATTCTCATCCCTGATCAATCATTCGGTGTATGGAATTCTAGGTGCTGAAATCTTTACAAGTTTTACAAGTTTTACTTTCAAGGAGCAAGATACTTTTCTCTCCTTTTCAAGTCCATCTTCTGGATGAGCATAATAGAATATGAAAATGGATACACTTAATTGATTACAGTGCAGAAATTGCCAGTACTGTTACAAATACCTTAGAAATGACTGCACAATTTGTTATCTTTTACTTCAGTGTTAGTCTTCTGTGGCTATATAAACTCTGCTTGAGATGGGGCTAAGCAGAATGTTCACTTGAATAAACTGACATCTTGTAGTACACATGCTTGTAATGAACAAGGAAATGTCTTTCTGACCTGTGGCTCCTGATGGCTAAAGGGACTAGAATTGTATTTCTTTAAGAAATACTACTGGTGAGAATACTTCGTTCTAGCTTTAGCACAATTTTTTTTAGAACAGATTAACACACTGGCCCATACAAAATAAAGAATACATTGTAAATAAAACAAAACCCTAGCAAAAATCTCATTACTGTATGAATAATAATTAATACTCCCTGACTGAAACTTATTATTCATACACTTTTCAGGACAGAGCTACTGAAACTCCTGCTGACCTGTTTCTCAGAGGTCATGTACTTGCCTCCCTCCTCGGATAGTAGCAACACTAATCCCTGGGTCCAGTTTTTCTGTTCTACGGAGAACAGGTGAGAAATAGCAAATTGCATGTGATGGATGCCTTGGAATAATTTTGTTTAATCTAAACCTTCTTTTATTAAAAGGATTGCTTAGATATGATAGACATCGCTCCATCTCTCCCCACTTCATGCCTTCTTTTAATTTTTTTTTCCTCATTAATTCAGTATGTATGCTTTTAGGGCTAGTGCTGACCTAATTGGAGCTAACCAACATTTTATTCAAATAGTGGATGGTGCTGGAATGCTAAGCTACATCCACATAGCTGCTAACCCTCCCATCGTGGAGCCAGCAGGAAATCATGCAACCCCAAATTTGCTGCCTCCAGATTACTCTTATTATGCATCTGGAATGGGTTGGTGTTCAGCTGCTGTCCATACAGTTTTAACACGCAGCATTCTAAGGGCTGTGGTTGGTGGTTCCTTTGGCTGAAATTCCAGCCCTGTCCAACATCATCCATCATATGAAAAGGCTCCTCCAGTTGAAATTCCCAGCACTCTGGTTAGTCCATGCACTGTGTTTTTTTTCCCTTTTCCTGTTGTACCATCAACCAATTGAATTTTTAAAAATTTCATGTAACTATAGGTTGACTGGTTGACCGTGTAACCTATTGATTACTAAATGACAATAAAGAGTTTGGATTTTTGCATTTCTTGGCTGCCATGTACATTCATCTGGATTTGCTGATGAGACAGCCAGTGGATAAGTGCTGAAGTTTGAGAAAGGGGTTTAACTTTGAAGCTCAGGGTAGGATGACTACTGGATGGCAGCCAAAAGATACAACCTTTCCCCCGCAGCTCTTTGCTGCCACCTACTGACTGACATGCACTTGGGAAACAGCAGGCTGTCCCTGTGGGCTGTCCCTGTGTCAGGTCAAAGAGGCTGTGTGTGGATTTGTAATACTGTGCTGAAAGCTTACAGTTTTGTAGATTGTATGGAGACTTGCTTGCCTGGTGCAAAGCTAGTAGAGATTATATGGTGTCTAGATAAATTGCTTCATAGTTCCAAAGAGGAAGCAGTGGTCACTGTCCACATTGGCATCAGTGATATAAGAAAAGGTTATTGGACAGTCCAGGAAGCCAGATGTATGCTAAAAGGGAACAAATTGAAGTCCAGGACTGTCAAGGTAGTGTTCTCAGAAATACTGCCTATTCTACATACAAACCTAGCTGGACAGAGAGAGGTCAGGGGTCTCAATGCATGGATAAGATGGTGGTGCCAAGTGGAGAGATTTAATTTTGTGAGGTTAAACTGATTTTATGTGAACTTAATTTTGTGAACTTAAACTAATTTTGTGAACTTAAACTGATATGTAACCATGTTGCTGATGCAGAACATCAGTAAGGAAGAAGAGGAGCTTTTAAACTGATTCCTGAGGGCAAATTGACTGGTGCTGGTCGACATCTAGTTCAGAAAAGTGTAGATGTTTTAAAAAATATGCCAGCTGTATTTGAGAAAGGATAGTTTATAGGTGCTTTTATGCCAGTGCTAAAATCTCTGAGCCAAGTTAGATAAGTTAGAATGCTGGTGAAAAAGAGACTGAAAGGAAAAGTGAACAGGGCCAAATTTCTTCATAATGCCTAGAGATTATATAAAGCCACAATAATTGAGGCTTAACTAATACTGTACATATGGGATATAAGAAAGGGTCAACCAAGTCCAAGAAAAAGCCACTATGGCTTTCTAGGGTTATCCAAAAAGTGAAGGTTTCCTTAATGGCCCACATTGAGGACCACTGCATTAAACAACACACATAGTAGATTTCTACTACTCAGAGTTGAACTATTTCTTAAGCATTTCATTGTCGTACATGCTTAACTTCCACTATCTTTACTGCATCCAACAACAAACTTTCTATCCCACATCCATCCAAAGCCTTCCATAATTCATACCAATTAATACATTTTCTTCAAATCTACAGTAATATAGTAAATGTTCTTTCTCACAGTTATACAACACTACACATCATAGGACATTCACATTATAAAATCAATAATTTCACATATACTGTACACTGATGGGGTCTGAGCTGTCTGTAGCTTGGCAAGAAAAAGGTCTCCCAGTCACAGCAGACAGCTTTAACTGAGATATTGACTCAGTATATAGCAACTGTGATAAAAGGGCAAATTCCACGTAATGCCCTCCTACTCATCTGTGGCGTGTTTGAATCTGGAATACTGTGTACAGTTCTGGTTGTCTCATTTGATAAAGAACTGGAAAAAGTGCAGAACTGGCTACCAAAAAAACATACCAGGAGGCTCAAACCCTTCTTTATGACAGAAGATTAAAGTGTTTAGGACTCTTTAGCTTGAGTAAAAAGGTGCTGGTGGGGAGAGCAGGGTGGAGGGGACGACATTATTGAATTGTATAAAAATCAAGTGTGTGAAGAAATGGACCAAAAAGAACTTTTTTAAAAAAACACTAGGACCACAGGTCAGCCTTAGGCTGATTGGGAAGAGATTTAGAACAGACAAGGAAGTATTTCTTCACAAATGCATAATTCCATGGGTGATTCTTATATACACTATATTTCATTTTCTGAAGCACAAGGTTAGATCTGATTCTTCATTGTGAGTTCAAGTATATATTAAAATGGACAACTCTGACTGTTGCACACTATTGTGCAGCAATAATCTGCTTTGTAAGCTTTGAATCCTGGGGAACAATGCCCTCTTTTGCCACAGCTTTGGAATTCCCCATGTTCATCAGGCAAGTTGCTTGGATCTATGCCACTGCCATTCATGCTTCATGTGAAAAACAAAGGGCCTTTCTGGTGGTGGTCCCTGAATATTCAATATCTATCCGAGAAGGGTTTGCTTGACACTGCATGAAAGTCCTAGTATGAGGGAAAGGCTTTTTAAAAGTTTTAACATACCATTTTTTCCTATTAAATGTTTTGCTATCGGTTTGACCTATTTAGTTGCACAATATTTGACTGAATTCATAGTTATCACCTTTAGCTTTTATTTTTAAATAAATTGCCTTGTGATATATTTGATATGATAACATTACTTACAGTTGGTGTTTCTTTGTGTGTGTATGTATTTAAGCTCTGAAATAAGTAGCTTGGCCCTGCTTCTGAATGTTGTACTTTGATTATCTGAACTTAAATAAACATGCTTGCTTAGCTGATTCAAAATGAACTTTATTCATGGAAAAATGTAGCATTGTGGTGCAGTCTTTTTTTCCCTTGTACAATACTGGAATCAAGTCATGTCATTAAAAAGGCTAAACATGTGCTCTGATATTAGAAAATAGTATAAGCGTTTGCTTGTTTTCAAGACAGGAGGCACTATAAAATAAACAGTCTGCAGTATACAACAAATTGTGCAGTATGGATGGGTACATTTTATTGTAAATTGCATTGAGCAAAATTTTTGGAAAGAGATCTGTTATATATTAAATACGGGACTGTTGCTAATTCTTTTGCAGTCACCCAGCCAATAGGATGTTCTAATTTGTATTGTCATTCATCTAGCATATTACTTTGTTTATCAAAATCGTTAAGAAAATAACCCCAAATTCTAAACTGCGGTTTTCTTTTCACTAATGCATGTTTGTGAGGAAGAAAAGCACTGTTTAATCAATGCTAATGAAATGACTTCTTATCGAAAGCTTACTCTTTGTTGGAAAGCTTTTAACACCTCACGTTTCTTGTGCATCTTTCTGAGCATGTTGGATCCTTTTCTAGGCATGCTCTTCCACTGTTTACTTCCCTCTTGAATATCGTCTGTGCTTATGATCCAGTGGGTTATGGGATCCCCTATAACCACTTGCTCTTCTCGGACTATCGTGAACCACTGGTGGAGCAGGCTGCTCAAGTCCTTATAGTCACATTGGACTATGACACTTCTACCAGCTCCAGCCCCACAGTAGATGGCACTACCACTGGAACGGCCATGGATGATGCTGATGTGAGTTGCTCCCAGATTTGGCTGTGTGTGTAATGTGGAGGACAAAACTTCAACAGACTTTCCTGAAGCAGAGTAGCTTTGAATGGAAGTACAGAAGTAGCCCTGGAAAGATGGTGCTAAATTCTTTCCTCAAATGGTAGTTTTCCATGGCACTCAAGGTTCCAGATATTTGGCTTGAAACATTAGAAGACATTTGGGTGCAAACATGGAAATGGATTTTGCCCATCTTTCTGACTTCATTTTAAGCTAACATTTGTCAAGTGTGTTACAGCAATTGTGGTGAATCTGAGACATAAATGCCAGCATCCTAAGCACTTAAAGATATACATTTGCCTTCTTATTGCCAAACTAATTAGTTTGAATTCTTATTTTATGTGCATGCTTACCAATTCACTTCAGAACCTTTCACTCACTGCATTACTAGCATAAATATTTAAGTTTTCTTCTCCTTCCTAGCTGAACTGCATGCTAGAGAGGTATTCATAATACCCATGAATGAACAGAGGCAAGAGCACTCTAGCCATTCATTTTCTGATTTGAATACATGAACTAATTAATCTGTTCTATGCTGTATTTTTTTAAACTATGAAATATTAAACCTACCTTTTCTTTATTTTCTTTAAAATGGAAAGCAACCATTGCATTCTAATGCTTAGCATAGTGAATGCTCTGCAGATGTTGCTGAATTATACCTCCTAATACCCCTATCATTGATCATGCTGATTGAGGCTCCTGGGAATTGTAGTTCACCAATATCTGGGAACACAGGTTGTCAATTGTGGTTTAACATTTAACACTTCATCAGGATTGTTTGACTGATTTAGTGAATATGTCACTTGCCAGTGAATTCAAAAACATACATATATACACTGAGAGTGTTCTGAAGCTAAGAAATATTCACTTAGTTTCTTTTAATGCAGCCTCCAGGACCAGACAATCTGTTTGTCAATTACCTGTCTAGGATACACAGAGAAGAGGTAAAGTATCAGATTTTCTTCTGGTTTCTTATTGGCTTAATCTTAGGTTTCCATTCCGTGACCTATTTATGTTCTTTATGTTATCAGGATTTCCAGTTTGTTTTGAAAGGAGTAGCCCGTCTGCTCTCCAACCCTCTGGTCCAAACCTACCTGCCAAATTCTACTAAAAAGATCCAGTTCCATCAGGAGCTCCTGGTTCTCTTCTGGAAACTCTGTGATTTCAACAAGGTTCTGTCTTCTATCTCTGGCATTATTAAAAAATTGGGGTGGGAGAGCAGGATCAGAACCTGTAAAATGAACACGAGGGGTGGAAATGGGAGAATCTTAGTGATGGTGAGCTTGTCAAGAATAACACTTTTGGATTAGAAGCGAAACAAATGATTGAAAGATCAGGATAGGATGCAGTAGCGGTAGTTGTTTGGAGTCATTGCCCCCACTGCTGATGCTGCGTACCTAACAAGTCTCAGTTTAGTTCCTGTGTGTGTTCAGGTGTCAGGCCTGTTGAATCAGTATCCCTGAGAAACCTCCATCTGAAAGCAACCTGTACAGGAAAAGTGTACAGTTATGATGCTTATCTGCTCTTTGATGCCTTCTGATCAAAGATAAATCATGTGCAGAGCGTGATTTTTGTTCAAGTCATTTTTAATGCCAGCAGTGCAATTCTCTCCATGTCTACTGAGAAATAATCACTTCAAGTTCAGCAGTAAGCCGAACTTTCTTCCTCCATAAAATCCTCAGCATTTTACATGTGGAGCCATTGGAAAATGAATAAATAGGGTATGTAAAATGTTTTGTTTTGAAATGTTTCAAAATACAATTTTTGTACAGGCCTGCTAAAAAACATTAATGAACATGCTGATAGCTGTAGTTTCTCCCCTCTGTTGATGCAGTTTTGTTTTGTCCTGCTTTCCTGACACTTATAGAGAAAAAAATCCTTATTTAAAGGTGGTTAATTGTTCTTTTTCTCTTTCAGAAATTTCTCTTCTTTGTTCTGAAAAGCAGTGATGTTTTAGATATTCTGGTGCCAATTCTCTACTTCCTTAATGATGCTAGAGCAGATCAATGTAAGTCTGGGTTTATCTATTCTCAGAGTTCATTTTTATTTATTTATTTTATTTATATTTCAAATTTAGCCACCACCCATCTCATGAGAAAGTGACTCTGGGTGGTTTACAGTAAAAACAACAAATAAATATTAATTAAAATACAGTACAATAAAAATAGTATAAAAATACAATAAAACCCAAATACAATAAAACTCAAATACATACTTAAATACTAATATCTTCCAAGGTGCTGCTGGTAGAAAAGATACTAACATACAGAACCATCTTCAAGGTGCTAGCCACCCCCAGGGTTGGTTGCCCCTTCTTTTGCCCCATGCAAGTTGGCAGA